TGGGGGTAAATCAAAAATCTGAAATTGCGACCGTCACGAAAAGGTGTAAGGTTTTGAACGCTTATAACTTTGTCATTTATAGATAAAATTAAAATCCAAATACACCAATCGATAGGACATAATTCTCACAATCTGTTACAATCAATCCTTTTCCTATCTTCTAAAAAAAAAATGATGAAAAATGTACAAAAAAAGAGTGATAATTTTATCACTGTTTCAATGAAATAAACGTTTTCCCCAAACCAAGTCGTCATAATCGAGTACAATTTGGTTGCGGATTGTTTTGCTTGAACCTGTAAAACTATATGAGAGCTCTGCTGTCGTCCGCTCATTAAAGCTTCGGACGGCGTGGCAAGCAGAAGAAGGAGCAAATCAGCAAAAGGTGGAATTTTTCCCTCTGCCTTTGCTGAACATAACTGCAGTCAGGCTAGAGCGCAAGCGTTTGGTTGAACGTGTAATCCATATCAAATGTTCAACGGAGATGGGATGGGCATTGACATATGCACGGGGAATATATTTTATAACGGAGGATTAAAGACAAGTGTTTCATATGCGGAAATATCCCTAACGGAATGTCCAGAAACAGTCAGAAAAATAACTAATAAGGGTAAGGAAATTGACATGTCAAAGAGAGGAAATGGAGTTAATTGAGGAAATAAGTTATTTCTACTATACTTTAAATCAATATCAAGAAAAATGCACGAGAAGTTCACTAAACACCTCAACGTAGTCTCCATCAACCATGCGGTTGAGTCTTGTACACAACCCCACCATTTTGTTTTGTTTTTTTTCATCTACACACTTAGAAAAATTGTTGTTACTTTCGGTGCTCTGAGACTGACATATACGAGCGTCAATGTTGACATAAAATTGAGTCATAATAAACGTGAAATGTAGCTCAATCAAACAAATCTCATTCCTTTTCATTTTACATATGATTACATGACGTAAACATTAAAAACGATAATACAAATACAATACATTTCCTTAGGTCAAAATATAATAACGTAAAAGTATGGCGATGGTGGTAAAAATCACTCGAAAAGTCGTGCTGCGGGTGGCGATTCTGACCAAAATCTTGAATGGATGTCAGCTCCAGTAGCCGAGAAGGAAAAAAAACGAAAACAGATAGCAAACCATGACAGAAACGTTTAAAGGGTGATACGGTCAAAATTTGGTCAAGGGAAAACGCGTGTAAATCCGTGAAATCGTTTATTTAAAAATTTAAATTAAATTTCTTTTTAAAGTTCAATTAGTATTAAATTCAGGAAAAAATATTCAGTTAGGCTTCCGCTTTTCCAAATCCGAATTGCCGGGCCTTACGCTTGACCCCTGCCATCAGATTTTGTACAGCCACCTTGTCCACCTTCTTCGCCGCAGAAAGCCAGTTTGCCTTGAACTGCTGCTCGCCCTTAGCAGTTTTTTTTTTGTCTTCTTTAGGTTCCGCTTGACAATAGCCCAGTATTTCTCAATTGGGCGGAGCTCTGGCGTGTTGGGAGGGTTCTTGTCCTTGGGAACCACCTGCACGTTGTTGGCGGCGTACCACTCCATGGCCTTTTTACCGTAATGGCAAGATGCCAAATCCGGCCAAAACAGTACGGAACAACCGTGTTTCTTCAGGAAAGGCAGCAGACGTTTATTCAAACACTCTTTCACGTAAATTTCTTGGTTGACAGTCCCGGAAGCTATGAAAATGCTGCTTTTCAAGCCACAGGTACAGATGGCTTGCCAAACCAGATATTTCTTTGCGAACTTTGACAGTTTCATGTGCTTGAAAACATCTGCTACCTTTCCCCTTCCTTTTGCCGTATAAAACTCCTGTCCCGGAAGCTGCTTGTAGTCGGCTTTGACGTAGGTTTCGTCGTCCATTACCACGCAGTCAAACTTCGTCAGCATCGTCGTGTACAGCCTCCGGGATCGCGCTTTGGCCGTCGTATTTTGTTTATCATCGCGATTTGGAGTCACTACCTTCTTGTAAGTCGATAGTCCGGCTCGTTTTTTGGCTCGATGCACGGTTGTAGACGATACACCCAGCTTATTTGCGGCATCTCGGAGAGAGAGGTTAGGGTTTCGCTTGAAACTACCGGCAACTCTCTTTGTCGTCTCAGCGGCTTCCGGTTTTCGATTTCCCCCCGATCCAGACTTCCTGGCTGTCGACAAACGTTCCCCAAACACTTTAATTACATTTGTAACGGTTGATTTGGCAACTTTTAGCGATTTTGCCAACTGAAGAGTGAATTCCAAAATCAAAATAGGAGCAACATTCTACACACACACACCTTCAAAATGAGGGGTGTTCAGGATTTTTAAATGCAAAATTGAAAGAAATACGTCAAGTTGATATTGACCAAATTTTGACCGTATCACCCTTTAAGTTGAGTTTAAGCGAAGGCATCATATCAAGAAGACTGGCAACTTTGCCAGAACTCAAGCGACAGATACAATAGCGCTGCGCTTGAGTGAAGGTGGAAGTAACGCGTAGAAAATTGAGCAAATGCACAAACCTTTCTTCTGAGTATGTAATTTTTGTTATCAAATTCGTTTGAAGCCTTTACTTTTGAGCGGCAGATGACGCGATTGTACCTGTCTCATAGCGTTCGTATGGTAAAATGGAAGAGTTACCAGTCTTCTTGATTTGTTGTCTTCGGTTTAAGTAAAGGAATTGGAATTCCTCATTAAATGCAGCATTCATAGATCGGATCGCATTATGCTGGCCATATCCTGAGGCGTGACGAGCCTCAAGCGACAAGAAGTCTCGCTTTCGTAAAACCCTTACAGGTGCGTTGACGTTTAGTTGGGCCAGTAAGTCTTCAACGTTCCAATGTATCGAGCCCAAGGAGCCTGCATCGATGTTAGCACGGAGTGGTATGTTTACAGCGTCTCACCATGGAAGGCTACGGAAAACATATCTTATAAATTTATGTTGTTTTGATTCAAATCTGTTATTCCACACACTTAGAAATGATTACCGACTTCAGTAATATTTACCGAGCTTTCAACAGCTGAACGGTAAAAGGAGGCATTTTAATTCATTAGTGTTATGGCTTCAAAACAAGGAAAACTTCACCACAATGGCAAGGCTCGATTATTATTACAAGGATGTCAGTGGTTTCAATTGAAAATTTAGTGAAACAGCTTTTGAAATGCTGATCAAATTTTTACCGAACGTTCAGTTCCGTAAAAACATACTGAAGTCGGTAATAATTTCTAAGTGTACAGGTGGTCATATGGACATCACACGGTTGCATTTCATTCTAAAACCCAGCGTACCAATGCATAGTTAAGCGACCGAAAGGATAGTCATGGGTGACAGTTTGTTTGTGTTCCTACTCTCATGCGCTACCGTTGTCTCTCTTACACAACACAAACGGTAGAACAACATTCGAGCAAAAAGAAAATGATCGAATAACTATCATATGGCATGTGTGATTTCGTACTAATTCCTCAATTTGGAGTAAATTAAACCATTTGTGATCAGAAATCGTTGCTTACTATTTTCAGAATTCACCCAAGCCCAACATCAGCAGCTCTCATTATGAGAAAAACCAAAACACATACATTCGTGACGGTCTTCGGTGACAGTGTCGTATGACAGAGCCTATCATATGACATTTTAATTTGGTAGTGTAATTTGATAGCTTGGAAGCAAAGGCATTCGAATAACACAGAAAATGCGTCGACAAGACAAGACTGGTGAGGATCACGAAATTCATTAACTCCTTTACAAATCCTTACACATACCGAACAGCATCAACCAAACAAAAGGTCACACACTATCGAGGTTCGAGGTGGAATCAAAAACAGTTGAAATACTATTTTGTAATATATTTCAACTGGAATGGACTTAACAAATTCATGAACGATGTCCAATGATATGGATTTATACACAGTGCACCAACTCCAACTCATTTACAATGTATGCATCCTGCAATAAACAGATGGACCTCGAAACATTTCCCTCGTGCACGGATCTCGGCTCCACATGATAACCACCAACAACCCAACATGCATTCAGTTCCCAAATCTTCACTTAAGCTACCGGGAGTCTATTGCATTTATCTTAATGTCCTTAAGGTATCCTGCGATGTTGACATTTTCTAAGTTCCCTGAACTTTCAATACATTTCTCTTTGCAGTTCAGTGTCGTTTAAATAAATTCAGTAAAAATTAAAGAAGTTTATATCGAGTTTAAGACATGTCCTATAAAGGATTTTCATATATGTTTTACAACTTCTTCAAATGTTAAAAGTGTCCATAACATTTAAAATAAGCTGTTCGGGAAATTTCAGGGACATTTGAATGAGCTTAGAGAATATGAGATATTCAAATGAATCCTAAGCCAAAAGTGCTTCCTCCCTATTAACTCAGTTCATTCAATAAATTATGCAGTCCGACATCGACAGGCAGAGTATCTAATTTAAAAAAAAAACTCATTTGCAATTCTCTTCAACCCATCCAAAAGTGGAGGTTACAACCCAATCGGAAAGGGAAAAATTGACTTCCATTCCGACAGAGAACCAGCATAGATGCTAGCAGCAGATAGGCACTCGCTGCTACGAACGTAACCAACTCACAACTAATAAGTCCCGGTTTGGAGGCGACGGCGGTAGGGATGGTAATCGTTTCTCGCGCGCAGCAAACAGGAATGAAGTTATTTAAGACTACCGCATCTAAGGATGCCATGCTACTGCAGCAGCAGCAGCAGCAGCCAGGAAAACTTTCTCCCCATACACTCCCAGCTCAGCAGGTCTTGCTTTTTCCTCATCCCATTTTTTATGCCCTACGTATTTTCACATCTTCCGGGGATAAAATCAAGCGGAAGAAGTTAGTTCCTTGTGGCTTCGATGGGGTGTGAAAGGAGATTGTGCATTTTGTGGGTCTCACTTGGCAGTAAATTTACAGCTTCACACGAGGGGGAGCAGCCGCACGACCGGGAAAGTTGTTCTGGGGGCAATTTAGCTGGTTGTCAAGTTTTAAGTCTCGTCGTAAATTTGAACTTACCACATCGATGATCTGCATCAGCGTCAGCCCGAAGCTGAGCTGCAGTGGATCCGACTCGTTGACCACCGGTCGCTCCAGAACGTTGTAGGCATCGAGCAGGTGGTGCAGTAGGCGCTTCTCGTGGTAGCCGGCATTGACAACTGAAAAAGCGGAAAAGGGAAAATATCGATTAGAGAACCCTTCCAAAAACGCCTGTCAAGTGTGAAAAGTCTATCAAAAATCTCAACCCCTCTCCCTTTCTCGCACTCCATCTCGCTCGTGCACGCAATCTAACCAGCAATCTCTTAATCTACCTGCAGAGCGGAGAATGGCAATTAAGTAGCAAACATCTAAATATACAACAATGTGTCGGTAATCCTGTTGTAGGTAGATACCGGAAAACAACCCGCAGCGGCAGCCTTCCCTTTTCCGGCTAACGCATGGGCCAACATAAAGCACAATTGGGTTTCATGTATGTAAAATGTATATGGTCGGTCGGATTAGGTGTGCTACGGGGCCGTGTCAATCTGGGAAGGGGAGCGTTCAACACCATGGCAGCCTACTATGATTATGTTTATTGACATCAGGGTTGCATCGATTCACTTGCTATAGAATAATATTTTGTTTGGAATTATGGAATCATTGGATGTTGGAAAAAGAGGTTGAAAATGTATGTTTGACACATAACGCCTGTCAATTTCGCTTTCAGAAAGTCACAAGCGGTGATCGTGACACTCTCAAAGCGAAATTGACAGATTGTATGTGTCAAACACACATTGTACAACCTCTTCACGGGTAGATTCATCACTGCGACCATAACTTTGATCTATTGTGATATATTCCTCGTTTTTATATTGCTTTCGAATAAATGTACTACTTGCCTAGGACCGGCATTTCAAACATCAAAGGGTTCTGCCAGCCCCTTATCCAGAAAAACATGCCTTTAATAGAAGATTGCTGTTCCAGAGTACAGCAGGTGTTCAGAGCCTTCCTTTTTTATGCCACTGAATTGACACATATCCTCCTAAAGCTTTCCTATTAGCTTCAAGTGATTTTTATATGGACAATGTCCTGTTATCAAAAGATCTTTCTTTAATAATCCATGAATTCTGCTAGTAATTGAAATGTTCCCGTTTGCATAATTCCGTAAAACAATTTTTACAGCGAAGCGATTCGAAGCAACCCTGGTAGACGAACCAACCCGAAGCAAGTCGTTCGTTCGTTCATCCAGCACAATGTTTGGCATAGGCTTATCGCTTTAATCTAACCTAGCGCAAAAGCCGATAAACAAAACATGCAAACAGCACTTCGTCGCTTCCCCCGTTTTCCGCCCCATGGAGAGTTTACTTCCCACAGGGAAACCAATCACATCAAGTCAAGCTGCCGGGGGTCTTTGATTACTCGAATCGGGCTGCTGCTGCTGCTGCCTGGTGCTGATGCTTCAGAATTTAGTGGAGGAAAAGTTTCAAACTCATTAGTCGCTGCCGAAATGGGGTTTTGAGCCAAAAGGCCTTACTCACTTCCCTCTCAGTAGTGTTGGGAGCGGGTGGAGGCGGCAGTTGTTAATGTTAATGTTCTTATTATTGTTATTGCCCTGATCATCAACGAGGCTAGGCACTGCTGATGGGATGCGGGATTATTGCGATGGTTTTTAGTGAGTTCATTAATCGTTTGAGACTGCACACAACGAAGGCCGAATCGGGGGTTTTGGATGGCAGAGGATTTTGAAATGTCAAGCGTTTATCCGGTATTAGTTAGCTTAACTCGATGGTCTCTTCGATTTCGTATTTGGAAGAGTTGACTCTGTTTAACAACCGTATCAAGCAGTTTTTGAAAATCCTAGACTCATTTCTTGGCAAGCTAACTATTTTGATTACCTTTACTTGAAATCTACTAAATTGAAGCTCCAGAGATCATGTTGTAGAATTTGATAATGAAGTTTTAAAAAATCTAAGTTTATTGAAATTTCAGTGACATCCTGGGAATCAGTTCCCACCAGTTTAAACAACAATCACGTTTCCCAATTCGAGGAGAGCTAGTTAGACTTCATGGACGATAGCTAAAAAGGCATAACATAGAAAGCACTCCTGAAACTGCAAGACTTTGAAAAGTTCTCTCACAAGATCATTCTAAGGGTCTCGGGACTCTCAAGAAGACTGCTGGACACTTAACTGAGAATACAAATCATACTCTGGAACTGCTGATCTAAACTCATTTTCCAGGGTCCCTTCTTACTGAGAATCAACTACAACATCATTATTGCCACATCTTCAGAATTTGTGGAACGTGCTAATCCACTATTTGGACTAGAAATGTCCAATAAAGAGTCTGAAAAATACAAGCTAATACAATCTTGAATTGAATTCTTTTCCCTTGCAATCCCCTGGTCCAAATGGAATTTTTCTAGCGCATATTCAAAAGTGTAAATCTATATTAATCTCTGACTTAATCGAATTATTCAAGCCTAGTTTTGACGTACACACTACGAAAAAGACACGTAAATTTCAGTGCCCTGAGATCGCCACATGCCAGCGGCCCTTTTGACAAAAGAATTAGTTGAAAAGGACGAAAAAATCAATTCAATCAAACGCACTTCTCGTCGAGTTGCATGTTTCAGTTTCAGGACACTTAATTTTACATTCCATGTTTGTTTACATTCCATGATTTACGTCAAAGCTGAAAAACTACTCGTGTAAAAATAAAAAAAAATCTAAGTGTGTAGGACTACGTCTTTCGGAGTGAAGGCCAATCCAGGGAAATGCAACGAAAATTGGTCAGACTTTAAATGCTAATAACTTGGCCAATAATCAATGGATTTTGATGATTTGTATGTCGATCAAATCGGCAACTTTATAAAATTTGTGCGGTTTGTCATACATTAAAAATTTCAAATATTTAGATAGTTCAAAAATAAGAAATATGGAAACATTCAAATTTATCATAAAATTTCTTCGACCGCAAGGTGCTCACCCCTAACACAGCCATCAGAAAATTGGTTCCTAACAACACAAGCCGAAGCCACTGAATCATTCTGCTTTGCACGTTGGACGGTTCGAACTCGAACTTGTTCGCTGCAGCGTGGACATCGTCGCATTTCGTTCTATTCATTCACCTACACCAACTAAATACAGAAGAAAGCATGTGCGCTGAAGACATCATGCTGATGGTACCAGCAAGGAAGTACTACAAGGCCGTCGAATAAGAGATGAACTAGCCTATGGCTAAAAATCTCTATAATAAAGGAAAAAAAAAAAATAAGGCCGTCGAAGAGCTGCTGAGGCGGGAAAAAATGGGAATATTTCTCACACGATGTCGGGGAAGACAAGGCGCTCAAGGCGGTCCTGCGTGGTCTGCCGTAAGTACCGTGATCAGTTGTATTTGGTCCACCTCGAGCGAAACACAACGTGTTTGAAGGACCTGCAGTGTATTCGGGCGCTTTTCCACATCGTGGTTAAGTGGAAACGCTACCAACCTCGCCCCCGTAACATCATCCAATGCTCAAACTGCCTCATGTTTGGGTACGGGACCAAAAATTGCCACATGGCCCATCGCTGCAACGAATGTGACAAGCAGCACGCACCTAAAGCATACGACAGGATCGAGAACGCCAATTTACAATGCGCCAACTGTGGTGCAGCACATTGAGCTACCAGCAAGTCTTGTCCGAAGCGTGTGGAATTCATGGAAATCCGCAAAAAAAAAGCCTTCACGCAGAACCAGCTGGGTTAGAAAAATGTTCCGGTACGCATTGAGCAGAATTTCCCCGCCATTAGCCAACGGCGTCCGATTCCGGTTCTTCCGCCACTTCCACTCAACAACCGTTTGGCTGCTACTGCTGCTGCTGCTGCATCGGTCCCGCCATCTGCTGAAATGCCAAACCCTTCGGCTAATCCGAGCCGTCAGTCCTATGCAGCATCGGTTTCGTCCCCTACCCCGGGACTATCGTGGCGTCGAGATGACGGCCCACCATCGAACGAAAAGGAAGAGCTGCTGACGAACTGAGGAACTCATAACCATCATGACAGAAGCAATCGTCATCGTCAGAACCAGAACCGAGCAGATTCTTGCTGCATCACGTTTAATCGACAATTATGGACCGTGAAGCCATCAAGATCGCCTACTGGAACTCGCTCAAGAGCAAGAACATCGAGTTCGTTCACTTCCTCAACTAACGCAACATCGACATTGCTGTCATCACTGAAACCCACCTGAAAGCGGAGGTAAACGTCTACCTTTCTGACTTTCGGCTTCTAAGACTTGATCGAACCAGTTCCGGGGGAGGAGGAGTGGCCATTGCTGTAAGGAGAAACTCTGCTGTCGACTTCTGCCGAGCTTCCAGCTGAAAACCATCGAAGCCATAGGGGTAGAAGTTTCCACTCCTATCGGCCCTATCACCATCATTGCGACCTACTACCCCAAGCAAATCACCATCAGGGATGAGTCGACAGCAGACCTACTCGACGGCGCGAAAAGTACATCATCGCGGGCGACCTGAACGCCAAACACCAGGCTTGGGGCAGCAGTCAACGCAACCAAAACGGCACAATTCTGAACAACGACCTGCAAGAGGCTCGCTACACCATATTAGCGCCGGACTCTCCCACCCGCTTGAGCCGGTCTGGCGTACACTCCCCCATCGACAACATCTCGCTACCTGTGACCCACCAGGAGCTGAGTTCGGACCACTATCCAGTGGTGGCCGATGTGGGCTCATCCGTCAACCGATTCCAAGCTTCCGGACGCAACTACCATCGCGTCAGCTGGGATCAGTTCCAACACTGTGTCGACTACGGTGTCCTTCCGGAGACGCCCGAAGACATTGACCAGTGTCTGCGTTCCATCGAGGAGGCGATATCCCGGGCCAGGGAACAACGCGTGCCAGTATCCAGACAGGTGAGCAATACTCTAAACCTTGATAGAATTACCAAAAATCTCATCAGACTCCGTAACTCCATCCGAAGGCCAATACCAGCGTTCTGGTTTGCGTGTCTTGAAGACCCATTGCAATCATCTTACAAAAACCATCCAAGCTAGGATGGTGGATCTTAGAAATCAGGATTTTGCTAACAAGATCCGCTCTCTCCCAGGTTGTGCAAAGTCCTTTTGGAAACTAACCAAAATCCTTAAAAATAAGCCAAAACCCATTCCACCACTGACCCCA